GTGGGAGACCTGAGGGGAGGGGTTTTTGTTTTTGTTTTGCCAAAGATGAAAGCACCACTGTCCCTGGCATCTGAGAGTTTTGTGCTTAAGATTAAAAAAAACGAACAAAAAAAACTTTTTTTTTTCCTTCTTGCGTCTCTTCAACTCCATCTTTCCCAGACTGGTTTTTAAAGGCAGGGGTCTTCCTCCCCAACAACGTGCATTATCTTGTGCTTTGCAGTGACAGCACTGCTTTATTGTGATGCCCTGGCATGAAATGTGCATTTTGAAGATGTCTCACTGGAAGTGTCTAACTGCAACAGAACTCGAGTAAGTCAATAAGCAAAGCAGCTGACAGAGAATTTCGAGGGGCTTTCATTTTATTTCTTCGTCCATGGCAGATTTTGTGTGATTTTGAACCAGGGATCACAGGCTTTAAGATCCTCAGTTTCATTATTTGCAAATACTAACTGGTTATAAACAGGGTGGTGCAACTAAGGAAGCTAAGGTTCTTAAAAAAGGTTAATGGCAACTTGAGATCAAGGCTAATTCCTTACATATTCTGTTTAGAAAAAAAAATCTGTCTCAGCTGGGCACAGTGGCTCATGCCTGTAATCCCAGCATTTTGGGAGGCTGAGGCAGGTGGATCACGAGGTTAGGAGTTCAAGAACAGCCTGGCCAAGATGGTGAAACCCTGTCTCTACTAAAAATACAAAAATTAGCCGGATGTAGTGGTGGGCGCCTATAATCCCAGCTACACGGGAGGCTGAGGCAGAGATCGCATCACTGCACTCCAGCCTGGGTGACAGAGGGGAGACTAGGTCTCAAAAAAAAAAAAAAGTCTGTCAAACAGGAGGGAGAGCACCTTGTCAACCCCACCTTTGACGCTACTCTGGTTGTAAACAAAATCAAGCTGGGTTTAGGGAATGAGACTTAATAGGAATTCTCACCTCTTTCCCATTTTTTATTCACCATCAAGAAAAATATAGTTGGCTTTGAATTAAATACAGATTTCTAAGAGATATGCCAGGCCATCATATGGAAAAATTTAATATTGAAGTAATTGCAAAACAATGTCTATGCTATTTTGCTATGTGGATGACAGGGAAAACACACTAGAAAAACGTATTTTTATTGAAATGCAGCTGAAATGTTGCTTTCAGAGCATTTAGTATTCTTGGATACCAGCTTGGACAATTCAGGCCAAACTGTACCAGCCCCAGGTTAGATTATCGACTGGGTGTCAGTACCTTCTGTGTCAATGATTACACATTTACTTCTTTTTTTTTTTTTTTTTGAGATGGAGTCTTGCTCTGTCGCCCAGGCTGGAGTGCAGTGACCGGATCTCAGCTCACTGCAAGCTCCGCCTCCCAGGTTTACGCCAATCTCCTGCCTCAGGCTCCTGAGTAGCTGGGACTACAGGCGCCCGCCACCTTGCCCGGCTAGTTTTTTGTATTTTTAGTAGAGATGGGGTTTCACCATATTAGCCAGGATGGTCTCGATCTCCTGACCTCGTGATCCGCCCGTCTCGGCCTCCCAAAGTGCTGGGATTACAGGCTTGAGCCACCGCGCCCGGCCACACATTTACTTCTTAAATTTAGGATTTTAGCTTTAAAATTTTCTCTTTACATAAAATCAAGGAAAAAAGCCTTTCATCTCCACCCCTCTCCTATTTCACTTGCCAGAACAATTGGTGGTGATTAAGAAGCCATCCTGCATATAATGTGGTTAGTTAAGTGGTCTAATGCCCCAGTTATCCAGTTAGTGGCAGGCTGTGAGGTGGGGATTTGGTTAGTAGAGTCAAACAGAGGAGCTGTAATCTAATTAGCCTGTTGCCATCTGAGCCGTTAACTAAGATGGGGGCTAATTGGGTGGGGAGCCATTTTTCTGGGTGAGGTTTAGTTTCCAACACTGTAGGAATCTGCTGCTTCCAAAAAGTCTCCTTTAGAACTGTCCCCTAGCAGAGAATGTCCATCAGCCTGTAGACTGTCTCATCAACACACCAAACATGCTTTATCCAGCCCCCCACCTTTTTTTTTTTTCATATAACAATGTCAGAAACAGCCAGAACAGCTATAGACCAGATTTCCAATGAGGTCACTTGTTTATATACTTTAGGGCCAATCTAATTTCTTTTTCTGCTGAGTTTCACAGCTAGAAGAGCCAGAGATCTGAGTGTGGTGCCTACCGTGGGGTGTATGGAGGTACCCAAAGACCTTTGCAGTTTGGGAAGTGGTTGTTTCCTCTTGGAAACAGGTATAGAAGGGACATTTTATTTTAAATGCTGGAAGCCAATGACCATATGATTTAGAGGGCATTGAACTCTGCAGGGAGTGAAGAAGTTACCTTGACCTTTTCCTTTTTTTTTTTTTTTTCCTGCTCTGTCGCTAGGCTAGAGTGCAGTGCAGTGATGTGATCTTGGCTCACTGCAACCTCTGCCTCCCAGGTTCAAGCGATTCTCGTGCCTCAGCCTGCTGAGTAGCTGGAATTACAGGTGTGCGCCACCATGCCCCGCCAATTTTTATATTTTTAGTAGAGACAGGGTTTCACCACGTTGGCCAGGATGGTCTTGATCTCTTGACCTCGTGATCCACCCATCTTGGCCTCCCTAAGTGCTGGGATTACAGGCGTGAGCCACCGCACCCAGCTGACCTTTTCCTTTTTCAGCCTCTTATCCTGTTGCAGATCCCTGCCCTTTCTCTTCTGGTATCCCCTTTTCTGATGTCTTTCAGCCACAGAGTGGTGGCACGATGATATTCTGGCCTCTTAGCCACCCAGCTTTTCAGGTTTGGGTCCCGGGGTCTCCAGGGAAGGATGGGCAGAGGATGGGGGAGTAGGGGAGAGGTGGGTGGCAAAGGAGGAGTATAGAAGGGTTTGTGTTTGCTCCCTCTGTTAAACACTTTAGAATAGCGCCCATTGTCCTTACCTGTGGGATGGTATTGGTGCAAAGGCCCCTAAAACCGGAGGCAGTTGGTTTTCTTTGGTTCACCTGCTCATATGCTGCCACCTAGTGGTTCCTCCTCCTTTAGCACTCTGTGTGAAGCGCAGGGGGACGTTAAGGACACTTCTATATTGCCTTTCTCTCACTTGGCTTTTTTTTCCTCCTAAACCTAAAATTTCCCCTTTTCATTCCATGCAATTATCCATCATACACAAAACGGTTTTCTTCTTTTTACTCTTGGCTCAGATAATCTGGAAATGAATAATTAGGTATAAGATCTATTTTTTTTTTTTGAGAAAGTTAGAGCCCACTGACATCCTTGTTTGCTCCCTGGTTTCTCTCTTGTGATGTGAGATGGGCGTCTTACTCCAGTGCTGCAACGTGGTCATTACAGAGGAGAGGCAGGCTACCACCAATCCAGGGCTTCTCTGAACAGGGATTTCTTTTTTCTTTTTTTGGAGATGGAGTCTCACTCTGTCACCCAGGCTGGAGTGCAGTGGCATGATCTTGGCTCACCACAACCTCCGCCTCCCGGGTTCAAGCGATTCTCCTATCTCAGCCTCCTGAGTAGCTGGGATTACAGGTGCGCGCCACCATGCCTGGCTAATTTTTGTGTTTTTAGTGGAGACGAGGTTTCACCATGTTGGCCAGGCTGGTCTCGAACTCCTGACCTCATGATCTGCCCGCCTCAGCCTCCCAAAGTGCTGGGATTACAGGCGTGAGCCCCTGTGCCCGGCCAGTTGCCTGTCTTTCAAAATTTCTCTTGTAGAGAATCAGGCAACAATAGCAGCTACCCTTATTGAGCGTTAGTATGTGCCAGGCATTGTTCCAAGTACCATTACACATGTTAAATCATTTAATCTTCCTAATCACCTAATGATACAGTGAATAGAGTATATCCCTTCTAAGGTGAGGAAACTGAGGCATAAATGGTCAAATAACTTGCTCCAGAGAGCACAGTAGACAGGGAACTGAGATTTATTCCCAGGCTGTCTGGTTGCAGATGTTATGCTGTTAATCACTATGTTTTGCTGCCTTTTAACGTGCAGGTAACCTGAGTGCTAGGTACAGACAACAGGAAAGGGGAACAGGGAGCCCTATATCCATACCTGAGCCCTCCTCAGAGCATTTCCTCAGCTCCTACCTGAGAGGTGTTATAGTGCAGGACATATGGGTTGTTAACTAACCCAAGGCCTGAAGAGGAACTCTTCAATGTGCTGACTCCAAGGCCTTGCTTCTGGTTCTGTCTCGTTTTGGAGATTCAGCACATAGGAAAAAAACCACGTAGCTGGGTGGGAGCGGTGGCTCATGCCTGTAATCCCAACACTTTCAGAGACTGAGGTGTGTGGATCACTTGAGCTCGGGAGTTTGAGACCAGCCGGGACCCCAACTCTATAAAAATACAAAAATTGGTCGGGTGCAGTGGCTCACGCCTGTAATCCCAGCACTTTGGGAGGCCGAGGCGGGTGGATCACTTGAGGTCAGGAGTTCAAGACCAGCCTGACCAACGTGGTGAAACCCTGTCTCTACTAAAAATACAAAAATTAGCCGGGTGTGATGGTGCACCCCTGTAATCCAAGCTGCTCAGGAAGCCGAGGCAGGAGAATCGCTTGAATCGGGGAGGGGGAGGTTGCAGTGAGTCAAGATTGTGCCACTGCACTCCAGCCTGGGTGACGGAGTTGAGACTCCATCTCAAAAACAAACAAAAAAACAAAAATGAGCCGGGTGTAGTGGTGGGCGCCTGTAATCCCAGCTACTCGGGAATCTGAAGCAGGAGAATTGTTTGAACTCAGGAGGTGGAGGTTGCAGTGAGCCAAGATCATGCCACTGTACTCCAGCCTAGACAACAGAGCAAGACTCTGTCTCAAAAAAAAAAAAGAAAAGAAAAAGACAAAAAATAAATAACGGACATGGATTCCAGAGAAGATTCTACTCTGAAAGACAATTCCAAGTCTCCTTTTTTCTCTGGGCTTTTGTTTTCTCTCATGCTGTCCCCACTTTGTTGGGAGTTGGTGAAAATGCCCAGAGCTGACATATTGATATCATTTTACAAAAAGGAGCTCAACATCATCACACATGACAAGGAAACACATCTCAGGTTTATTTGTGCTTTTCAGACCAGCCAGAACAACCAGCAATGTCTTCCTCCCAAGGTTTCCTTCTCTCTCACCTTTGTGAAAAGCTTGTGGAAAAGGCAGATGTGGATGTGTGGACACATTTAGAGATGGGGATGAGCTATGACTAGGCTGGTTTAGTAACAGGTTTGATGAATGTACCTCTTCCCACTTGTCTTTCTGGTAGCTTACAGTCACTCTGAGGTGTCAGAGACTTGGGTCTCTTCAGCAAAGGGAGGAGTCCAAGGCATTGGTGGGGTGGCAGAAATAGGGAGTGGGAACTTTTGATGATCAGTTTCCTCATAAAGGCAGTAGAGGGGAAGAATATATTTCCTAAAGGAGAAAAAATACATAAATTTGCTTTTGTGATTCAAAATATAGACATATTAAAGGGCACAGAGCATAATGTTTTCCCCACTACCCTGTCTCACAGTTTCTCTGTCTTTGGAGGCAACCATGTTATCATTTTGTGTCTCCTTCCAGAAATATCCCATACAAATATAAACAAATAGGTATATATAATCTCCAGTCCCTTTTTATACAAATGGGGCACATTTGGCTCCCATTCTTTGCTGCTTTATTTTTTTAAACTTACCAACGTATCTCAGAATGTATTCCATACAGTTTCCCTTTCTTTTTTACTGTTGTGTAATATTCAGTTCTGTGAATGTACTATAGTTATTTGACTAGTTCTCTATTAAACATTTAGGTCATTTCCAAGTGTTTGCTATTATAATGAACCTTATATGCCTATCATTTTGCATGTGTGCAAGTATAGCTGTAGGATAATTTCTTTTTTTTTCTTTTTTTACACAAACAAAAAATGGCCAATAGGATAAAGTCGTTTTTTTGTTTGTTTTTTGTGTTTTTTTTGAGACAGAATCTTGCTCTGTTGCCCAGGCTGGAGTGCAGTGGCATGATCTCGGCTCACTGCAACCTCCGCCTCCCGAGTTCAAGCAATTCTCCTGCCTCAGACTCCTGAGTAGCTAAGATTACGGCGCCCGCCACCATGCCTGGCTAATTTTTGTATTTCTAGTAGAGATGAGGTTTCACCATGTTAGTCAGACTGGTCTTGAACTTCTGACCTCGTGATCCACTCCCCTTGGCCTCCCAAAGTGCTAGGATTACAGGCGTGAGCCACTGCACCTGGCCGGGTAAATTCTTAGAAGTATATTTGTTGGGCCAAAGACAGTGAAGAGATAAACAAATAAATGACAGAGTGAAAAAGGGTGAATTTGTTTTTTATTTTTACTTATTTTTTTGAGATGGAGTCTCTCTGTCACCCAGGCTAGAGTACAATGGCGCGATTTTGGCTCACTGCAACCTCCGCTTCCCAAGTTCAAGTGATTCTCCTGCCTCAGCTTCCTAAGTACTGGGATTACAGGTGCCCGCCACCATGCGTGACTAATTTTTGTATTTTTAGTAGAGATGGGGTTTCACCATGTTGGTGAGGCTGGTCTCGAACTCCTGACCTCAAGTGATTCACCTGCCTCGGCCTCGAAAGTGCTGGGATTATAGGCGTGAGCCACCGTGCCTGGCTGGCTGGATTTGTTTAGATTTGACAGAAAAATTCCAACTCTCTACACTTGTGGCCATGAAACAGAGTCTTCATCAGGAAAATCATAAAGTCAAACCTTGAGTGACAGGCCTGAGCTGTTGTTGTATGGTTGTACAAGGGCATTGGAGAATAAGATCTATCCCTTATGTATTTTCCTAAATGAATTCACTCAGCTGCTGCTGCACACTAGAGTGGGCTCTGGTCTGGACTCCAAGGACTGTTTGTATCACTGTCACACTGATGCCATTCTTTACCCCCAGCAATGATGATTGCTCCTATTTCAGGCCAGAAGATGGAGCTGGTGACAACATGCTGGTCTTGGGGGCCCTCCATCAGCATCTTAATTCTAACCAAAACCCGCTCTGCACCAAAGTGGCTCCCACTATTACTCCACGAAAACCAAGCACCCACCCCCACTATTTTGAAACACAATGTGGTTCTTGCTAATAAAACACAAACCTATTCTTTTTCTTTTTTTGAGACAAGGTCTTGCTCTTTCACCCAGACTGGAGTGCAGTGGTGCAGTCATGGCTAAGTGTAACCTCAAACCTCCTGGGCTCAAGCATTCCTCCCACCTTAGGCTCCCAAGTAGCTGGGCCTACAGATGTGCACCAGCACACTTGGCTAATTAAAAAAAAATTTTTTTTGTAGAAATGGGGTTTCACTATGTTGCCCAGGCTGGTCTCAAACTCCTGATCTCAAGTGATCCTCCTGCCTTGACCTCCCAAAGTGTTGGGATTACAGGTGTGAGCCACTGTGCCTGGCCCTGCAAACCACATTCTCTATTACTTAAAAGTTGATTTGATTACGTTCCGTAGGAATCCTCGTATTGGATTCCTAATCTTGGTCAGTCATATTGCAATATGTGGGCATTTTGGGGAAATGGTGCCCTGGGTTTGAGAGCTGGGGATAAACCTAGATCCATCCCTGTGGCAAAAATTCCCAGTTTTATCCCAATATCCATTCTTCCCTTTGTATTTAATCATGAATCTCCCAATTCTAAGCTGGACACAGGGCTATAAGCTTTCTTTACAGCTTGCTGTGTCCATATATTCCAACTTCTGGCCCATGGAATGTGAAAGGAGGTATGTGCGCAACATCTGTGAAGTGCCCTTAAAGGAAGAGAGTATGCTTTTCTCTCTCTTTTTTTTTTTTTTTGTCTTTCTCAAGACGGAGTCTTGCTCTGTCACCCAGGCTGGAGTGCAATGGCCTGATCTCGATTCACTGCAACCTCTGCCTCCTGGGTTCAAGTGATTCTCCTGCCTCAGCCTCCTGAGTAGCTGGGAATACAGGCGCGTGCCACCACGCCCGGCTAACTTTTTGTGTTTTTAATAGAGACGGGGTTTCACCATGTTGGCCAGGCTGGTCTTGAACTTCTGACCTCGTGATCTGCCCGCCTTGGCCTCCCAAAGTACTGGGATTACAGGCGTAAGCCCCCGTGCCTGGCCTGACCTTCTCCTTTTATCTTTCCTGATGTGCTGTGTAGGATGCAGACAGGATGGCTGGAACTGGAGCATCTGTCTTGGCCATGAGGTAACCTTGGGAATATTGGGCACACAGAGAAGAACAAAAAGAAAATGTACCTGGGACTGGATACCTTGGACCACTTACCTCTAGATTTTTACAGAAGAGAAAAATACATTTCTGTATTAATTTGTTTGTTTGTTTGTTTGTTTTGAGATGGAATCTTACTTTGTTGCCCAGGCTGGAGTCCAGTGGTGCGATCTCAGGTCACTGCAACCTCCGCTTCCCGGGTTCAAGCGATTCTCCTGCCTTAGCCTCCCCAGTAGCTGGGATTACAGGTGCCCGCCACCCCACTTGACTAATTTTTTTTGTATATTTAGTAGAGATGGGGTTTCACTATGTTGGTAAAGCTGGTCCTGAACTCCTGACCTCAGGTGATCTGCCCACCTTGGCCTCCCAAAGTGCTGGGATTACAGGTGTGAGCCACCGTGCCTGGCCTTCCGTATTAAGTCACTTTTAGTTTAGATTTTAAGTTGCTTTTAGTTGAACCTTATCCTAAGTGACACTGTCCACAAATTTAAGAAAAAAACAATTCCAGAGGCATTTTCTTTCCATCAGTGGTAAATCACAAGCATTAGTATGAGAAATGAAGAAAAGCTACTTCACTGGCAACTCTCATCTTTCAGAGAAACAAAGTAGTGGCCAACAAGTTCCACTCAACTATTAGGCAGTTCATTGGCAATGGTTCTGATACCTGGGTTTCATCTTTCTTCCACTTCAAAGGCAGTGGTGAGATACTCCTTCGGAACAATCCCAATGAGGCTGTTCAGTTCTCCCACCCACCAGCCATACATGTTATACTCCTGAAAAGTGAAAAGAGGACGTGTCAGTTAGAATTTGTTCATGCTTCTGCTCATTTATTCTAGTGATTGCATGGGAGATTCTGTTTGGTGGTTTCATTGTTGCCATTATCACTGTGAACTGTTAACTTCCCTGATGGGATTATTAAATTTAAAAAAGTCATCTAGAGGAAGAGAGCAAGCACTTTCATTTTGCCATCTTCCTGTCTACATTGTAAAGTTAGCACATTTGATGCCCTTGCTGAACCTAAAGAGCATTTTTTTTAAAACCAAGCCGAATGGTATAGCTTCTTAGAGTTAGGCACACATTAAATTGCCAGAACACTAAAGATATTCAAGGGGTCAAGTCATAGTTCAAATCAATAATATTTATCAAGCATCTTCCATGTGCAAAGTGCTGTTTGAGTTCCCATGAGGTATATAATGATGAATCAGAAGATTGCTTCCTCCTTGGGAGCTTACAGCAGAGTAATGGGCTTTGGAGTCAGACAGACTGAGATCTAATCCTCGCTTGGTCATTTAGTAGTCACATGACCTTAGGTTCTCCTAGCTTTAGCTTCTTTGTCTGTGAGAGTAGGGATAATATCTCCCTTCTATCTTGTGGGGATGTAAATTGCATCACTGAAGTAAAAACAACTGAACGTGTTTGATACATAGTAGGTGCCCTAAACATTAGATTCTTTCCCTCACACAGGTGAGAGGTGACAGGCACATTAATAATGACAGGCTAGTCAGAGAGAGGAGCAAACAAGAAAGAGGATGAGAAGGTTTAAAAGAGAGTTTAAGGAGTTATCACAGGGTGAGGATGCAGCTCCTCGAATACAGAAAAGTTTCTCAAAAGCACAACAGATGTTGAAGAGTAAAGGGCTATTTTTTTTTTTTTTTTTTGAGACGGACTCTCGCACTGTTGCCCAGGCTGGAGTACAGTGGCAAGATCTCAGCTCACTGCAACCTCCGGCTCCCAGGTTTAAGCAATTCTCCTGTCTCAACCTCCTGAGT